GATATGAGTCAGATGGGTCAAAAAAATCGGATTTGGGTCGGATTTGCCTGCAGTGTGAACGTAGCCTCTGTCTGCAGAGCTGAAAAACAACCAACCTGAACCAGTTCTGTCAGGAGGAACAGGACAAAAACATGAAACGTTTGTGGAAAGAAACTAAAAACATTTGACCAAAATTAATGAGCTTTAAAGACAAACCAGGGTTTCCCCCAGCGCATTATAAGGCTGGTGGGCTGCCAGGCTTCACCTGCCTCCCCACCAGGCCAAGTGTTGTTCATTTACTTAGAGCGGACGCTGAACATACAGGTAGATGTAAACTTGTGACTGTGTAGAAAGTAAAAGATTTACAAAAAGACTCCTATTCAGGTATTTAACAAATAAATATTTTATACAGTATGTAAACATCTGGTTTTGTGTGTCTGTGTGTATGCAGGTGTGTCTGTATGTATGCAGGTGTGTCTGTGTGTATGCAGGTGTGTCTGTGTATGCAGGTGTGTCTATATGTGTGTGTGTACTCACTGCCCTCCCAAGTGCAGTGTAGCAGGTTGAGAGCTCCCTCCACCCTTTTCCAGTGCTGCAGGTGGAAGAAGGCGTAGGCGATGGCTTCACTGTCGCCTCTCTTTAAAATATGTTCTGGAGGGAGAATCAGACTCTTCATCTCTAGCAAGTACTGAGGAGGACGAGTAGAAGAGAGAGAATAGCTTCTGTTTAGAGACACGAAAAATGAAGTTACCTAAGATTTCTGTATGATTTTTTTCTTTGATTTCACTCATTTTTTTATCATGAGATGTGAACAAAACAGCATGAGTGTTAAAATCCAGCTGATATTTAATTAAGTAACATCTACAGTTTATGTTTACCTACAGTCGAACAACTGGGAAGTTGATTCTGCAGCATAAATACAATCTTTGTACTGTGCAGAGGAGTGCCTCAAGTATGTGTACTCAGTCCTTTACTCTTCCCTCTGCTGTTCTGACAAATTCACCACAAACCAGATCAATAAGTTTGCTGATGATACCACAGTGGTGGAACACATCAATAATAATAATAAAAATCGGACAGAGCTGAGGCAGAATACTTACTGAGTTGGTATACAAATAACAAACTGCCTTGTAATGTGAAAAAAGGCTGAATATTTCCTGCTCTCTGGACATCAGCAACTTCCCAGTGGACAGGATCAACAACACAGGGTTTAAAGACCATGGAGTATCTCTCCTGGACTCTGCAATGTGTCATGTTATTTAGGAGTGGTTCCCCCTTCCTTATGAAGGTGTGTGTGTGTGTGTATGTGTGTGTATGTAGTCCATCTGACACTCACTTTAGGGACATGAGGGTTGAACTCCACCGCTCTGTGAATAGCTTCTACTGCATTCATCTCTGCTGTGCTCAGGCCTCGTCTGGACGCTGCCTCTGGAGAGAACCTGCACAGGAAGTGTAGGTTAAAGCAAATACATTTGTATTTCCATCCTTATTAGGACACAGTCCAGTGTTTCTGTTTACTATTGTCAAAGAAGGGAGGTTCTCTCTAACAAACACCCCCCCAATCCACAAAGGAAAGTGGTCGTATTAATTGTGGGAGAAAAATTTTACTGTGTTTTCTTTTTCCCTAATGTACTACTACAATATGTTTCAATATTTTCATGTATCTAACATGTTATGTCATGGGGGGATACAATCCTCTTCATTTCTGTTTCCCTCCATCTCTACATAGCGCAGAGCGAAGCATTTAAACAACGGTGGATATATTTTTCACACCAGAGTCACAAGAGGACATGAAAAGAAGATGTGGACGTTCACTTGCTCATACGTCCATCTTGTCAATTTAACAATCGGCTTCTGCTCTGGGAGCACAGCAGATTTGTTTTTCCAGCAACATGTGGAAGCTGACAGTATGGCAGGCTGTTTTTACATTTAATAGGCTTCACCACAATTACATTCCAGATATCTGAAAATTATTTTATGACAAGACATATTTGTTATTTTAGTTCTTTAAGTGAGAGATAAAAGCTAACTAATGCAAAGTAATTTTTAATTTAACTTAATTTATTTAAGGAAAAAGTTTAACTCTTAAATGCTTAGTAATGTTTCTGCTGTCGATCGTCAGTCTGTGTTCAAAAGACTAAAGGATAAAAAGGTTTTGATTTCTTTGAACATAAATTATCTATTTCTATACAATCTATATTGTTTCATCTGCTTGTATAATCTTAGGATTTCCTTAAAGTGATAGTTCAGACCATGAAGTAGAGTTCTGTCAGTCAGGATTCAAGTCTGCTTCTTCAAACTGATGCTGTTCAAAGGACTATCGACAACAAGTGACATATTAACTTTCATATTTTTTCTACAGAAGCTCACATTAAAAGATCTGACTGTCCTTTTAAAACCCTGAGTGTGATTAGATGAGTTCAAAGAAAAACATCAGAACAGCAGATCTTTTGGTTTTAATATAACAAAGGAGTTCTAATGTTCTAATTGATGGTCAATAGGGGGCACCATGGTGTAAGGTTAACAAGTTCTAATAAATATTATGGTATGTTCTATTTAATTTTATAACAAAAATCAATGACATAATTTATTTTTTTATAATTTTTGACCAAAACAAGGGCAAATGTTGAGATTCATTAATGTGTTAGACAAACTGCACTAACACAAAAAGACAAAATAAACTTCAAGGTCTGCTGTAACTTGAAGAAACTGCCAGCCACCTTTCATACCAGAGCTTTAAATTAAAATAATCTTTTAGTTTGAGAAACGCCGGTTTTAAAACCGTGTTAATGATGTTTCCTGTGTGAGCTCATAGAATATTAGAACAGCTTGCAGGGTGTGTTAGGTGTGCTGAGGATCAGTCTAAGCTACGACCTCAACACATTACAGCCTAAAATCTGTAAAATTATCAGAGTCTAAGTTGACTGAGGCGGCCATCTTTACAGGGTTAGCTCCACATCGTAATCACTTGTATGTAAAGATCCAATGATCACTTTGAGTTTCACTAAAACATTTTCAGTGGTTCTAAAGTTATTTTGCTAAAAGACAGATGTGCAACACTATCACGCCTAACTTCAGCTTGATATTTGTAAAAGTTGTAGACATTTGAAAGGATGCTGTTCATCCATTGGTTATTGCCATAAAATCCCCTGCTGGTTCAGATATTTTGCTAACACAACAAACTCACACACACACACACACTGATGTTCTGTCTAACAGATGATTTATTCTACACTCCTCTGCAGCCTCAGATACTCAGTAACTCTAGAACTTTGTCAACAGAGGGGTTGATTGATACAGGAAAGCTTAATCCCATTAATCTGTGTGCAGATTATTTCAGCCTGATTCATAGTGATGCTGCCTCGCAGCCACCATCAGCTCCACCTGGACTCTAACAGGAACAGGAAGGAGTTCTACAGCTGCTGGAAACATTACTCACTTGTCCGACACTGCCCGGGCTTTGAGCAGAGCTGCTGTGTAGCATATTGTTGCAGATTTGGGTAAGCTAATATCTGTGGAGAACACAAAGCAGACAGAGAGGAGGGACTGTTAAATAAAACCAGGAAAATGACAGGTTGGTGTTAGAACAGACAGCTTCTGTCAGGCAAAATATAAAGTTCAGGTTTTAATCATCAAGTCTGGACCTGAAGGCAGCCTAACATGCATGTTCTTAACCTGAGAGAGGAAACCAGAGGACACACTCAAAGCCAGGACCTCCTCGTTGTGAGGCAGCAGTGCTAACCACTAATCCACTGTGCTGCAAACATGAGTGTTTTATTCCCACATCCTGTATTTCATTTATCTAACAGCTGAGTCATAATCCTAACAAGACTGGACCCATTGACCTATTACTGGATTGGACATCGCCTATAGCCGTGTTATGGCAATATTTATTTAACAAAGACAGAAATATGTGGTCCAAGAATGAAGGTACTCCGTGAGATGATCAGCTGAGTTTTATTGCAACAACAGGAAACACAGAGAACAACCTGGCCTGTCTCTGTGCCTCTGCTTCTCTCTGTCACTGTCTCTCCACACTACTGTGTCCACTGTTGAACTCTGTTTCTCGAGAGGCCTCATATATACATTAACAAACACCATTCTGTCATCTTAGCAAGATTTGATACAAGGTCAATGGAAAACACAAAGATAAACACAAGTGATATCTGAGAATGACTGTTAGCAAATCTTGTTCTGACTTTGATCATTCTGTCTGCAGATGAACAGCATGTCAGCATGTCAAAACCTAGGTCATTAAAGGATGTCATGAATAACTAGCTTAAACATAAAAGTATTAGATCCATTACAGCCGCTAGAGATAGCGACGCGCCGTCACAGGAGCCATTACTATGCATTGAGTCATGTCAATGAAACGGTGGAGTTTCAATGCGGGATGTGCGTCAATCTGTCACAAAAATATTCATAGCACCCTCATTTCTTATCTGATTTCTATAAAATAAGGCTTAAATTAAAGCTGAGAAAATTGCCGATGTTGTGATATGTAAAAATATGTATTTGCTCAAGAGATAAATCTTTAAGCAGTCTGGGAACTTTTCATTACAGGTTTTTGCTAACATATTTACAGTAGAAGCCCCTTTCTGTCACATAAAACTAAGAGTCATGTGTGTCGCTTACATATAACTCTAATTTTGCATTGTTTCCTGGTTCTTCATTTGTGCTGCAGTAAAGACAAATTCCTCCAGCTGGTCATAAAATAAATGCGGTCGGCCCCTCCACAGCTTAGCTTATGAAATGTACGGTGGAGAAAAAACGTTATGGAGTTTTTTACTCTGATATATATAATCACAAACTACAGGATATACCATATGCTGACTGGACAGAACATCTGTACCAGTCATATCTACACAGTTCAGCCTAGTAGTAGTAAAGGTAATTTTACTCTTGTCCATTATATTTACCTCTCACAATGTTATCCTAACATAATAACAATATTAATAAAAAATATAATAATTTGTTGGAACAGCAAACTTGTTTTTTCGTTGGTTTACCCGACATAAGGTTGTCAAAATCAAGCTGCATAACTGACCTACTTTCTGCATCTCTGACATTTTTTTAAATAAAATTTTTTTCTATAAAATATGGCTTAAATTAAAGCTGAGAAAATTGTCGATGTTGTGATATGTAAAAAATATGTATTTGCTCAAGAGTTGAATCTATAAGCAGTCTGGGAACTATACAATATTTTAATGACCTGTAAAATGTGATAATCTTAATCTTGTGATCTTGTTGTTGTAATGTTGACAATTTATGGCAAAATATTGCATCCATTTTTTACCACCATTCATGGATGTTCCCGAGTCAAAACTCAATGCAGAGCAATGGCACCAGTGCGGTGCACGATAAGTCACGTGATGTCCAATCCAGTAATATAGATCAATGACTGGACCATCCTGGTCCTGCATGTTTCAGAGGTTCCTCTGATCCAACACACCTGATCTGGTGAGTGGCTGATTAACAGGCTTCTGCAGAACTTAAAGAGGTAAAGTAATCTGCATCAGGTAAAACAAGTAAAATCTGCAGGATAGAGACCCTCCAGGACCAGGGTTGCCCACCCCTGCATTAAAAGATGCTTCAGCACACAAGTTCTACAAAGAGTCTTCACAGATCTGTTGTCAGTGTTAGTGTTTGAAAACAGGAACATACATGAGACTAGGCATGGGACGTATGATAACCTTGGGCAAAAATATCACAGTTTTGCGGTATGACGGTATTATGATTACAGCTCTAAAATTTTTGTTTTGAAATTTGTATTTAAAAACAAAAAAAGAAAAAAACTGTTCTATTATTATATTCAACTTTAATTATCTTTGGAAGCTGTTTTTAGATCTCAGAGGTGTTATACTGAAATTTTATTTACCTGTGTGCATCTGTACTTTGATTTTAAGCATCTAATGCAATTAGATTATCCTGATAAAGTTTACATCTAGTAAGAGAACTGCTTTTCCACTGCTTTATTAGTTTAAAAAAAATCAGTGTACACTGCACTTTTTTATTTATTTTATCTTTTTATTGAAGTAATGTATCACGTTGGGAGTTTTTATTGTGTTTTAAATTTCAGAAGGGTTTTTGACGTGAAGATGATATAATTATATGCACACAGAAACAAGAAATCACAACTATGAATGCGTGTTTATGAAACGTACGTTCAGCTAACGAGCTGCTCGGCTAAAGGAGGCATTCAGTTTTATCACCGTTCACTAAAAACTTATCAAATACACAATCCAACAACTCAAACAGTTTTGTAGACAAGTTGTGATCAGCGCATTAAGCCACAGCAACACAATGTGTTTCACAACCTGATGCTAAAGTTAGCTCGTTCATTTCAAGATAGCATAACTTTACCTGGAGCTGCGATCAGATGTGTTGCCTCCATGGTCCAAACTGCCGTTGTCTTTACGGCATCCTAAGTATTTTCATGTAGCTGGATTTATTATTTTAGACGGGAAAAGGTTTGGGGAACTCTGTTTTTCAGCCACCATCACACAACCCCCGCAGAGCTGCGAGGTCTGACAGGCAGTCTGCTGCGGGAGTGCGCGGGGGAAAGTCTGCAGCGGCACAGACCAGAGGAAAAATAAACAAAAAACACTTTCCGTTCTGCCATACCATAGGCACGGTATGACAGAAAATTTTGGTGGTTTTGAAATCTTGACTTTCTCACATCACAGTATACGTTAAAACTGCCTACATGAGACAAATACAGTTTATAATCTGAGCACAACAGATTTTACTGATGTTAAAACAGACTCTTCAGGTTAACAGATTTTCTTCTAGGTTAAAGTCTGAACCCGGTCCCGACCAAACGTTAGTCGTTCTTTAGTTGTTCAGTTGTTCTGTTGTCAAAAATTAAGTTCCTTCACATTTTTAGTTTTCTTTTCAGAGCTGCCTTTGACTGCTGGATTTAAACACCATCAGTTTCAGTTTGTGGTCCAACGCTTCTGTTTTCCTTCATTGTGCCAACATAATGTACTTCTTTTATATATGTTTGATCAAGTAAAGAACACTGAATTTTCTTATTGCTAGAAGATGTGAGGGTTTTAGACCCAGACAGACTGGCTTTTTATAATAAATCCATCCACACTGACTAAAAACACAACTCCACTGAAGAAAAGAAATGCCCACATCATGATGTTGCCACCATCATGTTTTACTGTGTATAGAGATATTTTGTGATGAAAAGGGTTAACTTCTAACCCAACAAAGCTTACTGTGTCCAAAACGTTCAATTTAGGGTTCATCAACAAAAACTGTTCCACATCAGAGGATGATCAATAAAGTCTATGGTCCAGAGTCCATTATAGTCTGTTAATGGTTAAATTGTTTAGAATGTGTTGCATTAAAAGGTGGGAAGGCTTTGAAAAGTCTGACATTTTACCAGGTATGTGTAGACTTTCTATACCCACCATCTAATTATTGTCCACTGAGGGTGAAACTAAGAAATGTTTGTCATTTAGGCTCAATTCTAAAATCCATGCATGACAACGATCGGGTCAGGTCAAACTGTGAAGATAAAGTTCATCTAAAGCCCTGAAAACCAGGATGAGTTAACGCCCTGATAAACATTTTGTTGCTAAATTAATTTAATTAAATCCTAAAACACCACAATCACCACACAAGGACGGCTCTGCACGATCACACTCATTAAGTTCTGAGTTTAAAACGATCAAAGCAGTGAGGCAGAAAATGGGAAAAGGCTAAATGAAGCTCGAGGTCTCCTGGAAGTTTAAGAAGTCTTCTTCAGAGAAAATTAAACGTAGGTCTGGTTTTTACCTTCAGCAAGTAAAGTTAAAAAACAAAAGAAAATCAGCTTTATTTTGGACAAAGACATGAGTGTTCACCATGTTCAGGGTTTGGAAATGTTTACTAAGATCAGCTGATCAGCTATATGTGGGGTTGTTTCTGGTGACATTTGGGGACAATTTTAAGACAAAATGCCTACCTTTGGGGACAACTGGTGCATTTGGGGACAAAAGTCGAATCCCTGTTTGGTTTAAATGCCATTGGTGGGTTGGGGGTTGGGTTTAGGACCAAGGTGTGAATTGAGTTTAGGTTAGTTTTAGGGTCAGGTAAAGGTTAATTTGTGAGGTTAATTTTAGGGTAAATGGTCAGTGTTAGGATGTAAAATTACCAAAAAAAACTTGAATGGAAGTCAATGGAAAGTCCCCACAAGGATAGAGAAACATAGTATGTGGGTGTGTGTTTGTGTGTATCTGCTTCACCAAATTGACCTCTCTTGGCGCTCGTTCTGTCTCCTTGCCTTGGCCGTCACTTCCTTGTTCATGATC